AACTGTATAATATAATGAAGTCATACAGAGAAGATGATGTTTCATTTGAACGTACCCTGCAGAGCTTTTCAGAGCGAGTACCACGATGAAGCAATGTTTTATCAGAGTCACGCTGATCAAATGCTTGAATGTAAACAGTTTGAGGTTCGTTTATGTGAAAAGTCACACAGCGCTTCAGTTGGAGTTTAACTGAAGAAGGTGCGGCACTTGGGCTGTTGCGTTCACACCGATTTCCCCTCGAATGTGAGCTGTTCTCACAGAGGTGGTGGGACTTCAATGTAACTGTACCCCGTGAGGCCCGAGGCTATTTTCAGAGTGATTTCACAAGCTTTACTTTTAACCCTCTGAACCCCAAAACCAGCAGGTGGGGGGAGTTTGAAAGAGTTGGAAAGAGTCTTTTCAAAAATTTCCAAAATGTCACCATTTATCAGAGCAGGACACTGTAAAAACAGAGCTGGCTTTTCAACTTTCAACAGTCCTTGAACCACTTATCTCTGAAATGTCATTTCAACAGAAACCTTCAAATCAAATCTTAAAATTATATTTCATCAAAATCACTTTATTTTATGACTCATTTAAAAATTCTACCCCTCAAAAAAAGACATTTGTACAAACTATATTCTGTAAAAAACTAAAAATTCTGCACTCCTCTGTCAAACCGTGAAGCCATTAGTGACTCAAATGTGACCAGCAGTGAAATAACAAAAAAATTTGGGACTTTCTTGGCTGAACAGTGTGAGAGTACACAACGGAGAGAAGAGACGAAGTACTGAAACTCATTAAAAACTGAAGTAGTAAAATATCTGTTGTATGTAGAGCCATCATCTTTTTTTTTCCCCCTAGATTGGTTAAACCTGTGGGGACTTGGAAAAAAGTTGCACATGTTGATTCCAGATTTTTTAAATTCTGCTTTTTTGGGTTCATTTTTACAATTAATGGCATTAGAACGTTGCTTTACTGCATGAAAACATTTTTGAACTTTGTCCACTTCTAACCACAGTTCTGCTGTTTCCATAGAGCTCCTGAGTAATTCCAACAAGAGGAATGCAAACAGAGCTTTATATGGGCTGTAACTGTGATTAAATCTGATGTAAATTCTAATTCGCTTTTCTCGCCGTCGACTGACATCACTGGAAAGGTCAGGTTGTGAAGTTGTATTTGATGTGTACTGTAATAAATAGTTAACACTCTGGGTCTAAAGGTTAAAAAATCATCAGGCATACTTTTTACACTAATAGACAGCTGGGTAAACAGCTAATTATAATTACTGGGTAATACTCTGCTCAAAAAAACAAAGGGAACATAAAAATAACACATCCTAGATCTCAATGAATGAAACATTCCAGTTGAAAATCTTTATTCACTACATTGTGGAATGTGGTGAGAACAAAATAACATAAAAATGATCAATGTAAATGTAAATTATTATCCCGTGGAGGTCTGGATGTAGTGTGTGTGGCCTCCATGTGCCTGTAGGACCTCCCTACAACACCTGGATATGCTCCTGGTGAGGCAGGATGTTCTCCTGAGGGATCTCCTCCCAGACCTGGATTAAAGCATCAGTCAACTCCTGGACAGTCTGTGGTGCAACGTGGCGTTGGTGGATGGAACGAGACATGATGTCCCAGATGTGCTCAGTTGGATTCAGGTCTGAGGAACGGGCTGGCCAGTCCATAGCATCAATGCCTTCATCATGCAGGAACTGGTGACACACTTCAGCTACATAAGGCCGAGCATTGTCATGCATCAGAAGGAACCCAGGACCCACCGCACCAGCATATGGTCTCACAGTGGGTCTGAGGATCTCATATTAGTGGGCTGCTGGAGGTCATTCTGCAGGGCTCTGGCTCCTCCTGGTCCTCCTTGTACAAAGGAGGAGGTAGCATCCTGCTGCTGGGTTGTTGCCCTCTTACAGCCCCCTCCACATCTCCTGGTGTACTGGCCTGTCTCCTGGTATCTCCTCCATGCTCTGGACACTGTGCTGAGAGACACAGCAAACCTTCTTGCCACAGCTCACATTGATGAGCCATCCTGGATGAGCTGCACTACCTGAGCAACTTCTGTGGGTTGTAGACAAGCCTCATGCTACCTCTAGGGCTGAGAGCACTGACAAAATGCAAAAGTGACCAAAACATCAGCCAGAAAGGACGAGAACAGAGACATGGTCTGTGGTCACCACCTGTAGAACCTCTCCTTTATAGGGGTCGTCTTGCTAACTGCCTCTCATCTCCACCTGTTGTCTGCTCTGTTTGCACAACAGCAGGTGAAACTGATTCACAATCAGTGTTGCTTCCTAACTGGACAGGTTGATTTCACAGAAGTGTGATTGACTTGGAGTTACATTGTGTTGTTTAGGTGTTCCTTTTATTTTTTTTGAGCAGTGTATTATTAAATCTATGAATGCATCACTATTGACACTACAGCTGCGCTACCCGTAAACATGACTGTACCTTGTGATTCAACAGTGACAGAAAATGATGCTAAAACTGAGCTTGATACTTGGTACAACTCTGAGTCTGTCGCAGACGACCGTCTGAATACAACACGGAGCTCATTTGAATCTACACATTCAGACTAATCTAGCGGGAGTCAAAGTCAGTCTGTGATTCATAATGGAACAGCTCGAGGCGGTAGATTGATACGACAACAAAGATTAGAGTCTGCGGTCTTTTATGATTAGGATCGAGTTGCTTAAGTTCTCAAATACTGATTAGGTTGCCCGAGGCTACGAGAGCAGCAAAGGTAAAATTTGTCAAACAGAGTGACGTTCCTTGTACTGGAGAATTACCACAGTTATTCATCTGAGTCCCTGGCACTATAAACCACGGGGATGACAGCACGTGTCTGTGTACAATAAACGGACTGGAAAATGAAAGCAAGGTGGAGTTCTTATTTCATGTTTTTTAGTCACTGTACTCGGTTTGTAGTCTCCTAAAGCTTTAGGAGTCAGGGGACTTCAGCTTGAAGGCTTGTATAGTTTATTCAGAGTTTTGCAAAGGTGAATGTACAACAAGTAGCCCGTGTGTGAAAGAAGTTAGCAGCACGTAGTCGCTCCAGATTGCATGCCAACAAGGGTGATAAAGTTACTATAGTCTTTTGAAATAAGCCAAAACTGTTTAATTGTCACAGTTATTGTGTTTGCTGCCCTAAAACAAAGACAATGAAGGCCCAGTTGATGCCATGTTTTTGCAGTTTCTCTTTGTGTTTTCCTCATGGCTGCAGAGTTTGTCCAGACAGCAAAGGTTACAGGTTATAGACCCCTAACCTGTACACTGCCCCAGGCTGTAGTTTGCTGGTAAAAAAAATAAATAAACAAAAAACTGGCATTGGCCATGTATTTCCCTCAGCTTTCTCCTCTTCTGCTATCTACGTATTACTGTTTTCAAAATCCCCCTCGCTACAACCTCCAGGCAGCAACCTACACGCTGAAAAGTTTCTCCCAGAACTTGGATCGAGTAGGAAGGCATCCCGAGTGTTTTTTTTTTTTTTTTTTTAAGTAAATTACCCATAGTAATGACAGTGCTCACCTCCCTGAGTGAACAGAAGTAATTCCTCCTTCCAGTATTTTGAAGGGACACCCTCAGCTTCATCTTTGACGTCACTCCACCCGATGAGGTTGTATTTCTTTAATCACAATCAAGGCAGGAGGCGGCGCAGAGGTTAGCGCTGACGGGGTGGACAATCAAGCCAGAATCTTTACTTTGGCAAATGGTTATGAGGTGCAGAACTGAATGACCCGGCCACGCAACACTACTTATCCTGAAACCAGAGGTCTCTGATGGCAATAATGTGAAGAGGAAGTCTGAAGTATGTGGCAGCATGTGGAACCTTTAAGGAGGCTTAATGCAAACTATGTGAGCGAACATGGAAACTACTTCAAAAAGAGAAAGATGCTACAATATGAAATGTTGCCGGTTTTTCATTGCAGGAAATGTTGTAAATGTATTTAGATTTTTTTCATTGGCAAACCTTCATTTAAACAGTAATACACGTATGCTGCCTTGATCGTTATTCTGACTAATCCACGTGGCTGCCTGACATAAATCGGAGAAAAATAAAAAAAAGAACTAACGTGGAAATCGTCGTAATTAACGCAGAATCCGTAAGTGTTAAGTGCACATGTGAATGGAATGAAAGCAGTTCTTCATTACCTCATTGATAATTCAACATGAATTTATCAGTCAGATCGTTTGCTAAAATGATCAAATCTGCATCATAAATATGGTGGAATAACGAAGGACGAACAGTTTGCTGAAAACGTCTAATTGTGATTTTTCTGACAGATATGAATTCAGGATAATTTATTTTATTTTTTTACAGACAAGGGTCAGTTCAATATTAACTCTATAAAAGATGTAAAACCTGTAATGGAGCCTCCACAGCATGGCTATCACATGAGGATGGCATGAATTTGGAAAACAACTGACTCTGGGTCAGATGCCAAATGCAAAAACGTACAAGTTTGGCTGCTAAATAACCCGACTGTTCTCTCGTCAGTGGATCCACAGTGTCTGAATCACGATGTGCTGATAAATAGGCAGCATAAACAACCACTGAGAGTTTGGATCTACTCAAATTAAATGAGATTTAATTACAACATTAGTCACAATGTTTAACAGCCACACCTTGTTTATCCGAAGCTGCAGCTGTTGTGATTTCCATTTTTATAAATTTTGATTTGAAATTGATTAATTGTTCATCCAACAATAACAAAAGTCTGTTGAAAACATCCCTTCCGGCAAAAACATTCTGCCAAGGTCGACATCTGAAAATTTTGTTACATGCAACTCGTGTATTAACGGCAGTAAATTCGATTTCAGAGGAATTCAGGTGAATCTACTCCAAATAGAAATAACTGTGGAGCTCATACGATGATGGTGTGTCAGAGAAAATGTGCTCCTGCCGTCAGTACCAATGGCTGTTCTAACATTAGTCTCCCCGACTGTTCTTCCCCGTTCCTCTTCCCAGTTTTCAAGGAAAACGTGTTCAGATGACAGAGATGTTTTTATAGATATTTTTTATTTCTGTTTTTACAGACTTTTGTCACAACAAAGTCAGCAAGAGCGTCTTTTTTTTTGTTTGTTTTTTTTTTGTCCATTACATTGTAGTAATTCATTTGAAAGCAACCAAGAGAGGACAGTGACCATTTCATAACATAAAAGCAGAGGCAGTTTTGACATGCAGCAAAAACAGGCGGGGCTTCTAACCGAATCCAAGGCAGGGGGGGGAATACTAACAGCCCCCCCACCGTCGCGTTTCACCTCTAACCCATCTTTTACGAACACTAGAGCCCATCAGTTACAAAATACACAGAGAAGCTGCAACGAAAAAGGAAGTTTTTGCTCTGAAATGCTTCGAAATCTCACTCCAGGGGCGACGAAATAAACTAATTTCTAAAATCCCTAATGCTATTATGTGCGGTTAACATCTCTTCAAAAGGGATTCAGTAACGGATTGATTTTTTTTTTTTTTTAAATTGCAACATTCAAGTCTTTCTAGTTAGCCAGCATGGTGATTGGTCAAAGAATACAGAATGCCTTGTGTGCATTAATAATGTAAAATTTGTCAAAAAACACCATTTGATATGTAAGTGATACAGGGCCAAGTAGAAAAGGAACCTCCGGACCTCTCTCACCCAACGCTTTCAAAATTTCAAGATTGGATTTGAGGGACAGTTTGGTCTATTTAAAAAGAAAAGAAAGAAATCAAAGTAGAGGAGGAGGCCACACATAATAAAGAGGTTAATATAATGAAACTTTACAACCATTCTTTTCAATCTATCTGGTATAGAACAGTGCAGTTACTGGTCATGAGATTAAGCACTGGCCATACGATACTTACACTGAAGTTGTAAAAATATTAACACGCTACTGATCTATTACCGTTTGATTTATGTAGAGTTTAAAGAGACAACTGCAAAAGAGAGAGATGTGTATTTAAGTGCTAAGCTTTGCCATTTGTTTCATTACAGTCTGAATTCTAGTCTGAGCAGTGTTTTTTTGTTGTTTTTTTTTTATGTTCCGGGTTCAAAAGCACTCCCCCAGTGTTTGGTCCCTAAGGGAGACATAATTGACAAGTTCTTCTGTTAAATGGCTACAAACAGAGGCCAAAAAAAGAAGAGAAAAATCCTATCCCAAAAACTTGGGGAGAAGAAAAAAATAAAATAAAAAATTACAAGGTAAAGGAAAATCACCAGACAGACTAAATGAACCTTTAACAAACAGACAAAAGCAGTGTTAAGACAGAGGTTGTTTAGGGTGAAAGGGGGGTGAGTCCGTCTTCTGTCAGGGGACCACTGCATCCATCTGTGTGCCCGTTCACCCACCTGTCCAGCCATCTCCAACACCGTGGTGTCTCACTTGAGCAGAGCCTTTATGGCATCACTCTCGGCAGCTTCAAAGGCACTAATGCCGTCCGGTCCTTTCCGGTCTTTGTCAGCTCCCTGTGGAGGAGAGAGGGGGGGGGGACATGAATATTAATTATGCATCGAGTCCTACCCGCATCTGGTCAGGGGTTACAGAGAGGAGCACAGGCCTCAATCTATAGTCCTGTATGAGCAAATTATCATCGTCAATTAGCGTCAACGTGTTTCCAGTCGTAGGGGTCCATCGATACAAACTGTTGAGAAGGAAAATCTTAGTGTGGGAATGTTAAATAACAAACAGAACTTAATTCAAATGAATCTATGTAAATATTATAAAACGTATTTATGATAACCATCAAAACATGTCAATAATTGCTTGACCCCCAATTTCCAGGTACTACGAAACTACTGAACTTGAGCTGTTGTGTCCAAAGGATTAAAGAAATGTAAAGTTCTGTAAACAAGTTCTCCACATAGATTCTGTGCACTAGTCGTACCAGCTGTGAGGTTTGGAAACATAGCACTGCTTTGCAAACTATTGCACCATCGCAACGGTACCCCAACCTTCCACAGGGGCCACAAACTATAAGAAGCCAAAGTGAAATCAGAACTTCTGGGTCTGTTCCACAAGCAGGAAAACCTCAATGAGACGTCCTAAAAACAACAACAAAAAAAAGCAGCCTTTCTACATTACCAAAATGTTACGACATTAGTTGACACAGTGGATGTGGAGGAATGTGAGCTGTGATGGAGCGAGTACCTACACTGCTGCTCACGGGAGCTACAGTTTTTTTTAATGTGTTTTTTGTTATGCTAATAAATTAATTTCGCAGGCAATTGTAGAACATGAAAGGCAGATCCCAGAAACGTGTTGCACTTTTTCAGACAAGACATGAAAGAAACTCACTGAGATCAGTTGCAAAAGCTTGAAGAGGGTGGAACTAAATGAGGCTGGCAGTCAGGGCTCTTTGCTTCGACTAGACCCAAGTTCCTTCTGGTCTGAATGCACTAGCGCGACTGTATTAATCAGCGCATGGTGACGGAAATGGCTCGGAGAGTAACCCTGCAAAGTGCTGGCTCTATGTGGTAAATACTTTGGCCATCCCTTGTCTAGAATGCTTCCTACAAGTGTCTGGCCTTCGGCAAAACAGCTAAACTTCACTTATTTTCCCCCAACTCAGTCACTAAGGACTTGCCTGTCAGCCTGTCTTTACTCTACATGAAAAACAAAGTCACAGACACAGAGGCACAAATCTGTTTGAACCGAGGCAGATAACAGAATCAATGTGAAAGAGATGTGAGTGGATGGAAATCATTTGGATTACCAAGGACAAAAACCAGATGTCAAAAAAAAAAAGGAAAAGAAAAGAAAAAGCCAGAGAGCGAGAGCGGCAACGTGTTGAATGCGCATGTAATGACAACAGATTGAATGGGCGATGGAGGAGTGGAGGGGTATGCGGCGCAGAGACGTCCCTTTGTTTGGCCTGCCAGCTTTAGCCTCTTAGCAAAGGGCTTACAGAACCAAGGCAGAGAGAGTCTATTGTTGCGTGGAGAAGCAGGCCATCAAAAACAATGTGACCCAGTTCAAGTGCCCGGCGAATGTGAGGATGGTTGTCTGGGTGCAAAATTCCATGCCGCAGGAGCACCAGAGCGAATCCTGACCAAGGGAGATTTACCAGAGCTGAGTGGGTAACCTGTCAGATCTGCATCTCTAATTGGTAAGGAGATGAAAGACAAAGTGGGGGAGAGTTTTGTCGATTCATAACATGCTTCATCTGTCAACACTCCAGTTATGTTAGGAGCTGTTATGCAACTCTTGAACCACTAGACAATTTTGAGGGGGGGGGTTACGCTATCGCCCTTGTTAGCAAATGACCACGATGCTTCCGCCTTGTTAACCTGCCATCCCTCTTGTTCGTTGGTGGTGTGGGGGTAAGATGGTAATAGACGATCCACCTTGTTAAAAAATAACAAATCAACCACTGAGTTGAACTGTGATAACTCTGTTGAAGTCTGACAGTGGCAGGTACATGTTTTGTGGATATAAAACTATTATAACAGGATCATAGATGCATTTTAGATACTTTGAAGGAGACTTATTACAATGTGGGAGTTTTAGCTAGCCTGATATGAAGGCTGACATCACACCCATGTCTGAATGTTAAAAAAAAATGATGCAAGCTGTTGACTGATTTAGCTTAGCAGACTGGAAAACTGGAAATAGGGAAGTAGTAGCCCTGCTTTATAAAATGCTATCAGAATCTCTAAAACTCCCTAATTAAAAAAAAAACAAACAAACAAACAAAAAACCTCTATCTTGATTATTTTATCCACTGAACCCCACGCAGTGTCTGGACATTTATTGCTCCTGTAGCATTTTTACTCAATGTTTTCTTTGTTTTGGACTCAATCTGGTTCATGCAAACAGTTCATTTGTGGAACATCATTTTGACAGAATGGGATTTTATATTTGGGTTTTTTTGTTTAGATACAGTTTCTAACTTTAAAATAAAGTCTAAACCTGTCGGCAGGTTTGGCGTCCAGACGGTTAATGTGTACAGAACACAAAGTTGAGGCCAGTAACTTTCTGTAGTGGGCCCAACATCAACTTTTTAAAGGTTGTCTGGAGTACATGTACACAAATTTATTTTTTAGCAAGTTTTCTCCTGAAGCATCTGTAAGTCTCGACTGATTGCTGGAGTGCAGCATTGATTCAAATATGGGGTGAAATATAAGGTTCAGTTATGGAGGCTTTGGTATCCAGGTCTTCAGATCTCAAAAAGAAAAGCAGAAGGTCATTCACCTCCTATACTATCTGCAAATACACAGAGGGTTCCCTTCACTGTAATTTATCTCGTCAGAAAGAGGACAGATTCCTGGGGGAACCAGAAGCTTTCTGCTCTGATAATGTATTAATGTTCTTCTTACATGAACTGGTGCTTTTTCCCCCTGTAAAAAAAAAAAAAATAATCAAGTGTTTGTTGTGTGCCAGTAAACTTTTCCAATAGCTGTGCACTCATTCATATAAGGCTCCTGGTAACCAATCATTGTACTCTCCACTCCAGTGGTTTCAGTGGGTAAAGGGGAGGACAGGAAGGTAGGAGGAAGCTTTCTTCCCCCCCCCCCGCTTTTCTACAACTCAGGGGAAGTCATTAGTAGCTGCTTCAAGACCATACCTAGTAACCGACTCTACAGACCTCATTTAGATGGCAGAAAACAGGACTTGACTTTAACACTTTCACCGTCAATACTGCGCTTGCTTGGGTCGTGCGTCTGGTAAATCCAACTGTACACTATTATATAGGAGGCATAACAATCTCATAATGAACATTCACTTCAAGCATCCCAAAACAGCATTCTGGAGGTGTGTAATAGATTTTTGCTTCATATGTGATTTTATGGTAGAGTTCCAGTAATAGCGCTGGCCTACGCTGCTCCACCATTAATGCCTCTCTGGATACCCCGTGCCATCCCCAATGGCCAACCGGCTCAGTGGCACACTCCTGACACCACTTACAGTAATGAGCTTTCCTCAACTTGAATAATGACCCTTCATGAACACCTCACTGTCCAAACATTATCCAGTCAAAGAGGAGCTGCTGGCCAAGTGAGACACAGCCTAATGAATAAGAATAGACTCCCAGAGTGTCTCCAGTCAAACTGAGATGCATCATCATCCTGGGTTATGGAGCCATACGAAGCGGCTCTGGGTCAGTAACATAATGCCACTGACCTGCCAGAGTGTCCATTAAGTTTTCATTATGTCACCAGTAAATGGCACTGAAAGGCCGCCCATGCATAAGTCTTCAAATATTGGGCCAGAGCTTCACTCAACCCTATTTGAAATGCAATGCTGACATCAGACTATTGACCCGTTGGCAGCAGTCGAACATTACTATCCTGTAAGAAGACAAATTTTTACAACAGACGGTGAAAAGAGGAAGATCAATATCCGTGGTAAGAGCAGGTTGTCAGCTCAGCTTTAGATTGAACACGTGTATTTGGCAAAGGTTAAGGAGCGGTGCAAAACCTCGGGGAATGTATGAGGAAAGAATCATTTTAGGCTGACTGGAGTTTACAAGGCCATGTTTTGTTTTTCCGTTTAACAAAAAACAACAACAACAAAAACGTCAAGTCTTGTCAGTCTCTGTTAAATATGAATAAGGTAACTACTAAAAGACTTGCAAATACCATAGATCTTATTTATTCTGCTCTGTTTTTCCAACAGTAGTGGCTTAATATATTGTTTATTTAGCAGTTGGAAGAGGTATATTGGCACAATAGCACAAACCACATCCTGCATGTTTTATACATTTTCCATCTTCATGATAAATTCATAGGAGCAGTTCCTGATGTTAGAGATAAGGGCTGCAACTCATGACTTTTTTTCATAGTCAGTCAATCTACAAATACATATCTTGACTTAAACGAATAAAAATTTCGCCGACAGAACATCTGGTAGTTTTAGGAACGGCATCATTTCATGGAGCCCTTGGTGACGTCATGAAATGTCTTGTTTTCTGTGACTAACTGTCTAAAACCCTAAAACACTTCAGGTGCAGCGAATGTGCATTGTCGACAAAAACTGGTAACCAAATGTCATTGCCGGTTAGATGGTGCCACATTCTCTTCATCTGATGACATACTGACCAAGTTTACTGCTGATCTCTGAGGGGAAAACTGGATGAACCAAATATGCAACATTGGCTCCCACCAGTGTAACGCGCTGCCGGCTAGGCCTAAGTTGACCACCGCTGGGCCTAAACCAAGATAAGATTTAAGCTCGAGCTACTGTGGGGGGAGTAAGGTTGGAAACTGGTAAAATGGTGGGAAAGCTCAGAAGCAACAGCCAACATTCATGGCTCCACTGAGTCAACAACATCAACCTAGCCTCAGGTTACCGGAGAGCAGCCAGCGGGTACCTCATCCTTGGTAAGTTATAGCAGAAAATATAGAAGTCTATAAACTAGAGACTGGCCCACTGCCTGACTGGGGGGGCTGTCTGACACTTGACTGCAGTGGTGTCTGTCTCTTTACCATCCCTGTCTGTCTGCCTGCCATTTAGGGTGCACATGAGGACGTGCTGTGTTCATGTTCCAGTCCCAGCAAGGAATCAGAAATTGCAGTGTTGTAGCAGCAGTTCACATAAATCCACATACACGAAGTACACAACCAGCACCTTTACTATGGTTTTTGTTGGTCAGAACATGCTTAAAACAACCTCAAGCTTAATTGAAAACTTGCTATAAAAAGCGAAATAAGAGCCATTAAGTAATTGTGGAATTCATACTAATAGTCGATTAGATATTTTAATAATTTATAGATTATTCAACTATCAAAAGAGTCATTAGCTGCAGCTCTAAAAGACACTTGGTTCATCACATTAGGAACCAGAGAATCTTTGCAAATAAAATGACTTAATTATGAACTAAATCTCATGAATTTTCTGTGAATCAATTATTCAAGCTTTCTTTTTTTTTTTAGCAATATACATGTAAACCTGACTAGACCACTAGAAACTGCAGAGGAGTCTCAAGATGATCTCTGTAATTAGAAAACTTCTGTGTGGGTGCATGACGTCTACTGGCCCCCATTCTTTGAAAAATCCAACACAAGAATAAGGAACCTTATGGGTTCAGATTTAGAGGATAAGATAATAACAGGAACTGACTTGACATAAAATTACTGCATTTCTTCCAATGGTCATGTACAGAGTTCCTCATAGGAGGGGGTGTGTATTTGTGTGTTTATGATTGTGTGTGTGACCTTTCATTGTTGACTTAAAATTAACTGGCTTGCCTCTGTGGACTGTAGTCAGCACTCTTGGCTAGGATCTTACGGCTGGGTCACCTTAGGGGTTAAAAAGGCCTTTCATAATTCATTACCAACAACAGCGCAGCATGCAGTCGGGGAGGCAGGGGTTAGGTCCCATGATGCACCAGGGAACCAAGCAATTTTTGTCTGCCAACACAAAACTGTCTGACAGTTCGCCACTCACAATGCAATACTCTCAGTGGGTTTCTTTTATCCAATGCAATGTGATGGCTGTGGTACAACAGGTACTGGCAGGCAGAGTGGCTATACAGCAGCACAGTCCATGGTGTGGCCCTAGGACAATTCAATCATCTCATAATAACACACATGGCAAGCTTTCAGAGCTGTCAAAGGTAGATACATTGAGATCTGGTCCTGGTGGTGACTGCTAACCTTTCGGAAGCATCTCAGAGTTAATCCTCATTGGTGTTTAGTGGAGATCAGTCGAGAGAGAAACAGTGGCACAAACCCACGGGTTCGCTTACATGTTTGCATTCCATCATAATCCCTGTTCAGATGAGCTTTGGCTGCCTGTCTTGTCTGTTATGATACCAACACTTTTAAGGTCTACCCAAGAGGCTTTCATTTAAAAAGCAGAGGTGGTACTTTCATCGCTGCCTACTTCAGATGCAGAAGAGCACCTGCCTTTCAGGAGGATGTGAAAATGTGACTGCTAGCAGGGGAAATAAAGGAAACTCGCTACAGTCGATAATAAAGTCTTTTTGCTTTTATAAGAAAGAGTATGAAGGTTTTAAACCCAAATCCTTCAATGTAATGTGAAGGTGACATGTGACAAATGCGATATTGAAAACTCTCATGAACACCGAGTGCATCGTCTAACAAAAAGCGGAGATTTTTAGACCTTTAGACAGTAATTGAAAGTGCTATACTTGAGCCTGTGATGAAAACAAAACTTCAACCAACCAAACATTAGTTCTACAATAATAAGTTGTAAACCGCTATTTTTTCCCTGTTGGCTGCTTCTGTCAGTTCATCTTAGAGCCAGCAGCACTGATGGCCAGCTGACAGCAGTTGCCAGTTGCTGGTGACCGCTTGCATGACTCTGCTGGCTTGCTGATGCAAAGGCCGGGGGATGTGGCTGTGTTTATGAAAATGGGGGATTAATACAGCTGATTGCCAACAGGAATAAGCTGGCATGAAGAACAGAATAAGTGAACTCTAACCCAACTCACACAAACTTTTAGACACTAACAAACACACTGTCAGCCACTTGTGTACTTTGTGTTCTTCTTGATTTCTATTTTACTACTAACCTCTGTGTAACTGTGTATATTCCACTAACCTTTGTTTATTGTTTATTATATTGTATTCTGGCAAAACAATTTCCTCCAGGATGAATAAAGGTGATCTCATCTTAACTCTGTATTGTTAACCATACACCGATAATGGTTTCATCTTTTCAAATGCCTAATTCAAAGTGCAGATGAAACTGTGAACCCAATAAAAGGTCTCCCTGAATGGCAGATATGTGATTGTATAGGGTACAAAGACTGGCTTTCTTAATCAGGAGTGTGACATAGCTTGTGAAAGCCCCCTCCCCACTTCATATTACTTTCCCTAAACCAAGATGATGCTACTGTGAAACAACTCTGTAGAGGAGGCTTCATTTCCCCTGCCTCATTTAGCCTGGCTGGGGACAGACAGCTGCTCGCTCACCCTCACCGCCCGCATATCTATCTCTCTTTCGCATCATATTTTGGGACAGCCTTTAACTGAAGCCTTCTACATGACATCATGCAGTCTCCCCCACAGTGTAGCCTCATCTACCACAATGGGGCTGAACGCATGCCATCAACTAGGTTTCAAGCCCTCGAGTAAAAAACTGCCCCTCAATTTTTGGGACTGATGTGTATTCACAAAGCTAAGCTGTGCCCATTGCTAAGCTCATATTCTTTTTTTTATCTCTGCCCAGTTGAGCTTGTCTTTCACCCAAAACTAGTGTATGCGGGATCGTAGAGACATTTAAAGTAAGCTGGATTTTAAAAGCATACAACCGTGAAAAAAATAAAATAAAAAATACACCCCCTTGTTGCAGGGCTCCCGCCAAAACACATGAACATGCACTGCCTGAGTACAGCTGGGGGACTAATCCACAACACAGCGTTTGTGGGGAGCCCATTAAAACCACCACGTCTAAAAAACACACGAATAAGCTACATCACCACATTTGCAAAACACCCTGTTGAAAGCCTGAAGAGCCCAACATAAGATAAATACCATCCAACAGCACTTGCTCACTACGAGGTTACAATGCCGACAGGTGGAGAATATATATACATATATGCAATAACATACCCTAATGAAACTGGACGAGGATGGAAACCACACGGGGCAACTGAAAGATGTTTAGCAGTGCAAGATGTTATAGGTTCAAGTGAAACTGTAAAATTTGGCGACACAGCTTGGTAACTGTAGAAATGTGTCTGGCTGGTCTTGTGGAAGGAAGGAAGGAATGAGTGAGTGCACAGGCAGAGTGTGTCCAGGACTACATACAGAAAATAACAAAAAAAATATTCTGTCTCATCATTCTGGTGTTTGGCAAATAGAAATAATTTTGGTAATCCTAACTGACCTAAAACAGTAAAGGTTTAGTCTAATTTAATGCCAGATAGTGAGGGGAAAAAAAAGGTTATATGTCTCATTATACAGTGTCAGTAAACTTCTGGTTTCAACTGTAGGTAGTTAGACAGGCAGGTAAGCCATCCAATTATCTCATGCAGACTGAATGCTGTGACAAGACAGGCCTGTAACTGCCCCGGTTCACACATTCTTTCCTTTATTTATTTACACTTGATTTATTGCGAACTGTTGCGACGTAAAGACATTTTAAACAAATACAGCAAAAATGCTTCAGGAACACATTGCATGCTTCAAATTTTACGGGTAATACGGGCTCATGTAACAGGACAGCAGCAACGATTGAAACATATTGAATTTTATATGGCAGAGGAATGCTTGACAAAAAGAAAAGAAGCTGGTACCGAATAACAAGTAGCAATTGTGGCCGCCGATTGGATGACAATTATTTGTCCATAGTGCCATCAATTCTCCTGCAGACAGGCTAATTTGGACTGTGGTGAAACAGAGATACAGCAGCATCTGTCATTTATTTATGTATGACTGCCATGCATGTTGTTCTGAGGCAAATATTCAGGTAAGACGTGCAAGAAAAGGCACTGACTTCCTAAAAGAAAGCTCCTCCTCTTGCAAATGAGGCTTTCGTTTTGACTGTGATGGAACTGCACAAATCTGTTTTCTATGGCTGGATGACGCTGGATGGATTGGACATTTATTATGGTTTGCTTGTTATTCAGCTGTAGTGTTTCAGCCAATGCCAGCTGTGCCTGACTACGTATTGTCTGTCTCCTCACAGCTGTGACTAGATATGCACATTGCAGCATGCATCTGTTTAACTGAGGTAGCATTTAAGATAGTTCCAGAGCTAAACACCTGAGGGATGGAAGGACGGAGCAGAGATTTAGATGGAGCAAAGGGCTGTGCACCTATGAATGAAATGGCCTCAAAACACGGACAAAAAAAACAAGTGAACAGCAGCAATACTGTGTGATGCTCTATGAACATTCCAGCACAGCCTCCACAGGAGCGTGTTAAATGGCCTTTTGTCTAATGAGTTACCTCATCAGCACTCATGGCTCACATGGAACCTCTGACACATCAACAGCACCGATGGGTGAAAGACACCAGGGAACTTATGTGTGCAGATGCATGTATATGCATGCATGAATACATGCTCAAATCAGAGTACCAACCTTTTCTAGCAGGACCTTAACACAAGGGAGGTGACCCTCAAAACAGGCTGAGATCAGTGGAGTGAGCCCATGTTTGTCTGGAGCCTGTAGATGGAAAGGATGGGAAAGGCGTCAGTGGTAGACAGAAAAAAAGAAGAAAAAAAATAGAGAAAGATATTTGGAGAAAAGCTTCATATATCAGAAGATCATAGGCACTGGCCAAATCCTTCACAGAGGCATATCCTTCTTTTATCAAAAATAAATGAGAAAAAGAACTCCTGCAAGAGAGAGAGGTTTTACTTCCCCTTCATCATGTCCAGAAATCCAAAGAAAAGGCAGTGCACTTCGACATTATATTTATCCCCCCAAGTTTCAATAGCTGAGCTTGTTATTAAGGGAAACAGAGAATTGCGCAAACATTTCTAGGCTTGGGAGGCAAAGCAAAAACTGCATGGTCATACAACTTTAAAAGTCCAATATGGTGCCCCTTTTCAGCAAATAAATTCAAGTCTCATGTGTCCCCACGATGTGTCTTTCAGTTCTTCAGCTCAAAATACTGCAAAGACAGTTTTATTTTAGACCTCAATGTTTATTGTGGTACCACAAAACACAATAAAAATTGATTTTCATCATATGGGACCTTTATATCCTTGCTTCTGTGAAGGCCAGTTCAGTGCTATGATTGTGATTCGCTCTTCTACGCAAGATGCACCTTGCTGACGTGGGGGCTTTGAGTTTTAAGAAGCACCCTACAAACTCTCAATAAAAAGTTGGCTTCACATTTACACTATGTTGGTTTCCCAGAAGTATACTGGAGTTCAATGATTCATGCCGTCTTGCAGTCCTGCAAGTTACTGAACAGGCATATGATACCTTTAAAAAGAGTTGGCAAACACCAGAAGAAACTCCTGAAGGTCAGGGGGCTAATCGGGCTAAATATGAGAACTAACCAATTAGGAGAATGAGAATGGCCAATTGCTACAATAGCATAAAACAAACTGGTCTCAACAGTCGGACTGATTTTGTTCAAACAAACAGCAGTGTAACAATGGGCTTGGACTGTGAAGGGAAGCAGACACAGGTACTGTTAGATTTCATGGTCAGTGCATTCCTGGACAGTATGCAAATTAATGCAAAGCGCTTGTGAGGTGAGATGATCATTGTTGCTCTTACATTGACATCTGCTCCCTTAGAAATGAGGAACTCCACCATATCTGTTTGACCAAAGTCTGCGGCGTAATGCAAAGGCTTTCTCCCACCTTCCAGGGTCCGGTTTGCATCTTCCGCCTGGAAACAAGAAACGGCAGTCGTTAACATGGCTGAAAAATATAAACCCAGCACTGTCACAGGCCAGTGGTTGGCTTTGAAGGGTGATCTGAGACGCCCTCCCCCTTAAACTTCACATGGAAACTTACTACTGATACAACCTCACAATAAAATTAAGTGAAAAGAACACACCGCCCCACCCCGTCATTTCCCTGCTACATTTTCTGAGAGACAAGACAGCCACACTCATCACCCTTTCTTGTTCCCTTCCCACACTAGGTACACACAGCCAAGTGAGCACCAGGTGGCCCTCCAGTGACAATATCTAATGAAAGACAAATCAATCCCAGCTGTGGCTGTCAGCTCCAACTTTTCTCAAAACTGTGTATGATTACCTAATTGTCTGTAGAAAGATGAAGACAAGTGAAACTAAAAGCATTCCGTATAAGAGGCCCTGGAAGGTAGAGAAATATCTTGTTACCCAAGACCTTCATAATAAAACATCTGAGCTGGGGATGACAGAGCTAGCTTGGCTATCTGGTTCTCCTGGAGCACCTAAGAGCAAATCTAATAAAGTTGAGATGCCAATAAAAAAAAGGGGGAAAGGGCAAATAACAGTGAGGGGTGAATGTTATTATAATATTGATATGAGATTACATATGACCTAGAATTCTGGTTATAATAAGGTCATGATATAGTGTCCTATCCTGGTCCACTGTAGTTTAATGACACGCATTTCCTAACTTATCTATGAGAGGCTTTGCAGTGCAGGGATTTGGGTAAGGTGTGACACAACGGTAACAGGAACAGGCCCCACAATTGATGCTTTCAGCTTTCCTTGTTTTCAATTCACTGTAGGATCCATCAGCTTCAACTGTACGGGCACCAAAACAACAGTCTGGCTTTATGAGCACACAGGAAATAAAGCAAAGGTGGGTCTGTTATGTAAATCACCAGTTTTGCATTGTGCATGTCGCTGTTAAAGGGGAGAAGACTGCTACTCAACAAGGACATCAAGAGGGGGAGAAAAAGCTCTCCAAGTTTACCCAATCAGTGCTGTGTTCTTCGAGTTTAACCGAGCAGCGTCGAGCCTCGCGCAGCAGTTTTTTTCAAGGTTGCTCAAAAGTGCCTGCCGCGGAAGAGCCTCTCGAGGGACAGTTTTGTAGCTGGAACATGCACAAACATTTACTGTCGATGCTGGCTATGGCGTCAGTATTTAACACCTGAAAGGACCCACCTTGAACGTTATTAATTACAGTTGGGCTTCTCCTATTGTGACAAGCAAAACGTGGAAAAGGCCCACAATAATTATCATATTATAACAAAAACAAGTCCTAATGTCAGTGCAAACCTTGAAAGAAAAAAAAAAAGCACAAATCTGCTTGTGCAATGTGCTGGGTTCAAGTATTTTATGAATTTCCTGTCTATTTTGTTCTGTTTCTCCTTTCCTGGGGTCAAAAAACCGCCAAGTAAATTCCGAAACAACACCATAATCCCCACCGCACCAGTGCCTGCTTCTGATTGCCACTTACTCACCTTTATCACAAACTCCACCCAAGGTCAAGTTCAACATACTGAAAACAATTCTTCATTTTACACCCAATCCCACTGAATCCATTAGCAGTGATGGATATCGAACCCCGACCTCCTCTAACAGTGTTTAAATGCTACTTTCAGTGGCTGCAGCTCCGAGGCCTGAGAAAATTTTTAAGTGTTTCATTCTCACTGTAGAAAACGGATAAAGCACCGCAGTTGTTTATCCCCAGACTTGTGTAGGAAATTAAATGGCTATGAGTTACAATAGGACTACCAGAAATTGGAACAATCTCCTTGTGGATGGAGGAGTCATCCATTTAGTTGTGCTCAAAAACCAGCAACTGTAGCAATGACTTTGGACTAATCATTTACAGTGTTAGTTTATTAGTCAGATACACCCAAACTTTTCCAGAGTCTGTGAGTCAAGCTTCCTCTGACATGTGGCACCTGGGCATCCTTTTGGACATATGATGGACAACATTATTGACTTTATCAATCTAATAAAGTGACAACATTCAATCGTTAATATTTTATGAGTTAACTGCAGCTAATAAACTGTGTGAAGGAAATAAGCGTGTACAACGTGACCTGCTATCAGATCCTGATCAATCCTGTCTCCCTGCAAATGATAAGCAATTATTAAATGTAATTCTGTCCTTCTATGTGCAAACCACAAGCATAAATGTCAGCAACTCCCTTCCTTTAGATGCTCATATGGATCCTGCTGCTGTATTATCAAGCTGCAAGCACGACATAAACACAGAAAAAAGCCTCATACAAACAGCAACAAACTACACGTCTGATTCTGTTTGTCTTTATTTAAAAGCTGCATTACATTCATTGTTGGCAGGTCTCATTAATGTGACCCATAGACTCCATCCTAATCGCAGTTAAGATTTCGTTTTCTATGCATTTTAGTTAGTTTACAGAAAAGTGAATGAAAAAAAGCACTTTGTAATTTTAGCATGCAAACTGTGTCTTCTGCACTCTCTGGGACGTTTTTAGGACCAATATTGACAGCTGTAACACTTTCCCCAATTCATTTCACACACGTGGTAGGATGTGACTTGTGCGGCCACATCTTTTAACGTGATAGATGTATAGATGGCACACAGTTCAGACTGCGTGGAAAGTTTCACAAAAACATTTCTGAGTGCCACCTAGTCAGATTGAAGTCGCCACTTCTTTGGAAAACGTGACCAGTGTGTTCATACAGAAACCAACATGTCCAGATGATGAGAGATAACAGAAACAAGTGGGTGTCTGAAAGAGGTTTTACACACCACATTTATTAAGGTGTGAAAACCGACACATCACGGGAGGAAGTGAAGGGTGGATTACAAACAGACAGACAGTCCTTTATGGGCAGACCCTACACATACTAATAGGCTTAAACTAGAACAAATATTTTACAGAGGGAAGCAAATTTTGTTGTATTTTGGTTAGTTTACATGCATAATGTGTGACCTTAGTGACCTTCATCTGTGCTGTACTAAAAGTAGCACAGCTAAGTGAGATTCAAATATGCAGATCAAACTCTGCAGCCTTTACATAGCAATAAAACCAATATTTAAATAAATGTTTACAATGATGTAAAGCAGTTTCAGAAACCACATGTTCTGCTCTTACAGTAACAAGAACACATGCTTCTAATCATTTGTAGAGAGGGAACTGACCCTAAGCTCTTTGATAAAAGCTGTGTCCAGGCAAAGATTTTGCCATCTGTCAAAAAGATTACTGTGGCTACTAGCAAAGAAGGTGCTGCTGGGTGTGCTGTGGCCGAGCCTCCATCTCCAAGGCTACAGCTAAGACCCCCGCCCACCAATGCTGGCGAGACAGTGCTGGATCCAGGGCCCGTCTGGTGGGTTAGCCCGCTAGCAGTTAGCTAAACCTCACAGCACGTATAAGTGGGGCATTTTAGTGACTGAAATGAGCTTTATGTGGTAGCATTTGTGGTATATTCAAACACCAAGGCGCTGCTGGTTGCGAGGTGACAATACAAATAGCTGGTATCTGTCTATACCACGTACCAACTGATGCTATTGTTGGCTAGCTTACCAACAGGTTGCTTTCAGCTGAAAGTGCTAATAATAGTGGCTGTTAGCCGAGCTGAACGTGGCCCACAAACAAAGCTAAATCCACTTGGGCTAAAGCAGAAGGCTAAAAACTAACATTATACGGTCGTATTGAGCAAAAGAATGGCCTGCTGCCTGTTCTTAGTGTAAAAGCAGCAATGTATGAATGCCGCTAACTATGCTAACTCAGCGGTGCAGACTTCTCCTACAAGTCTATTTTAAAGCGTGTTTCGCCATCTTTGAGGTCCTCCGTGGGGGGGAAACTAAGCTTAAATGTGCATAAATTGTATTCAACGTCCCCACAAGCATCAATAGCTTGCCAATTCTTTATTACCTAACTAAACATTGCCCAACTCATGCTACCGCTAGCTACCTAGCTAGCAAGTCAACCGACCAGCGTTCATTGTATTAGCCAAGCTGCCACTTGTCGGAAAATTGTTGCTTTATGGTCGGTCAAATAAGAGTCAACTCACCGTTACCAGCTTGGCTTTGACCTCGTCCAGGTCCCCGGTCTTCAGTGCCCACATCAGCTCTTTATCTCCCATCTTCCTGTGTCTGCTCCGGTGCTGCTCCTTCCCTGTTGTGCTGCAGGGGTAGTTCACAAGTTAAATGCTAGTTGCGTTAAAAGTTAGCTAGCTGGAAAACTCTTCCGTCGTCGCTGTCGGACAACTCGAATGACAACTGAGCCCCTTTAAAACTCAAAAATGCCGGTTTTTTTGTTATTGTTGGATTTAGCGACTGGCCGAGGAGTGACAGGTAAAAAAAAATGGTTCAACAGAAGTTCTGAAAGGCAAAGTGGCAGGGAGGGATCCGCCTTTCTGTGAGCCGCAAATGTTTCCGATACAGTTACCCGGAACTTAACATTGAACGATAAGTTTGATGCTGCGTTCAGGTGCTGCTGCTGAAGGAGCGACTGCCAAGTTTTCTCTGTTTCTTATTTAGAAGAACATATCTCAAGATCTAATATGTTGATTCGACTCTCAAAAGTTTACATATACATATATATGTAGATTCCTAACACATATTCATTAATGAGTAAAATTGATTATTTCGAGAAATATTCCAAGAAATCAAATGAAGTGGTCTTGTGGTTGTGTTGAGGTGATATTTAGAAAAAGCCTCTGATTTTTTTTTGTTTTTAGAATAACATACATTAAAAAAATAATAATGTTCACTCTTTTCACTCAGAGTCCATCAACAAACAAAACAAGTATTATTATCCATTAAAAAGGTGAATAACTGACTTCATGTCAAACTAATAATGTTGTGCTGCATTAGCATTAGCTACCTAGCTTGAATTCCCATCTACTGGTGGTTGTTTATATGTCAGAAATTTAAATATCATTGATTATAAATTAAAGAAAGTTATAACTTTAGTCCTAAGCCCATTAATTCTAAATTCAGTGGCCACATTCATATTGTTTAAAAAAAAAAATAAAAATAGCATGTTTATCTAACATTTATGTTGCGTTCAAAGTCAGAGCAACATAAAAATGTTTACAACAAAGTTTAATATTTTTGCATAAGTGACTAGTTTTGCTTGTGTGAGAGGTACCCCCTCAGCATTTTACCTTCAGTTTTATGATACCAAATTTTTATTGTGTTCTGGTTTATTACCCTGTGAATTTATTCACTTAAGCACACTTCTTGTGGGCATTATTTAGATTATTTTAACATTGTTCTGAAAGGAATGTCTTACCACAGTTCAAGCCAGTATGACTTTTTTTTTTTCCAATTATATTTTAGCCTATTTATTTTAACTAAACCTGTCATACTTATTGCTATGTAGGAGGTACTGCTGTTAGCTTATACTGCATATAAACTTCATATTTACTGCTCTTTTTATGATGTTGGATTTTATTCTGAACAATATCTCAGGGCCTAAACCACCATAGAAGCATATATTATCACCTGTGCACACCCAGAGAAGTAGTATAACAATTTATTTTATTGTTCGGTGTTTAGAAACACAAAGTAAATGTAAAACATAAAAAAAACAACACCACAAAGTGTCAGCACATTATGGAAACAATAAATTAAATAAATACCACCAATCTATAAAGACAGTTTGAATGCAAACGTCTTTGTGGTTTCAAAGGCAGATGTGATGAAGCCAGAATATCTTTTGACGCTATGCTCAGTCGTAATGCACAACATCAGCAGTCAAACCTTTCATGTGTCTTTAACCCCCTGAATCCCAAAGTCCACTGATGCCTTTAACCGGCATCTTATCTTTAGAAAAATGACATCATGTATCAGAGCCACAAACTGTGAAGACTTTTCTGAAGGTCTTTGAACTAATCACCATGATGTCCAGGTGACTCAGCAGTATTAACCACATCTAACCTTAATATTGTGATATTTCATTTTATTCTACATGCTGTATTTTAAAAAAGAAAATCCCAAAGTACTCACAACTAAGAACCACAGCTGACTGAGGTCAGGTGACAAAAATGTAGTGATTTCTCAGCTGAACTTTAGGTTGTGTTTACAATGAGAAGACAGGAGATAAGTAACATATACATTATAATGTAAGTAGTTAAATATTTACGGCATGTGGAGCCACCTTTTTTTTTTTTTTCCAGCTGTGGGCACTTGGAAAAATATTTTATATGTTGATACATTTTTTTCAAACATTTTTTAAAATGTTTTTTAATTTCTGTACAATAAAAAATCGAACATATTAAACGTTTTTCATTTTTTTGTGTGGCTCGTGGTATTATTTCACATGGTACAAAATACATTTTTGAGTTTCTCTTCTTCTAGCCATGGCTGTGCTGTTTCCACAGAGGTGCAGGATTTTATATTACAGTAGAAAATGAACCCACAGTGAATAAAGATGTGACAGATTCCCCAGGAAGGGGTTAAATAGCTGGAACCAAACAGTTATGGTGTTTTCTTTTTCTTTATCATTTTTTAAAACTTCTTTTCTATTTAAATTACATCTCTGTTTGTGGTACATTACTTTCACAGTAAAATTGTTGACATTGTGCTTTCTTTTGTAAATGTTTAAATAAGTGTTGGTTTGGATTTATACATTTGTCTTCAGCATATTGGTTCTTTATCGTTTCAATCAAAAGCTGAAAACACAAGTCACAAGAACTTTGACAAAATGAAAATCAACAGCAACAAAAAACTAGGGTCCAGTCTTCAAAACAAACTGTATTGTTAGGTGACCCGATAAACAGATTTAAAAATCATGCAACAGCTTGTCCTGCTGTTCCGTTCTCAAACAGACAGACGTGCATTCAGTGGCTGAACCTGCACTCTGACCTCTCAGCAGACATCAAGAACACCCATGCAGCTCGCTGACAGAGGATGAGGCGCCCTCCCTCGTAAAGCCAGCGGCTCACATGACACACGATATTTCAGATGCATTGCTTGTGCATCATCATTTTCAAGGAGCTCATGGAACTGAAGCACCTGTTGGAGCCAATCACGTCCAGGGCCATCTCTATTGTCATGCAGCATTTGAAGAACTGCTCAATCAGCCCCTGATAAGCAGGGGCCAGCTGCAGAAAGCAATACGGCGGGAGCAGGTAAAGGATCCGCGAAGGATCAAGGGCAGAGCAATAGGTTCAAAGCCATACACTCGACTTTTTTTTATTTTGATTTTCTCATGCTGCAGCACTGCCACCGGTGCCTCCTACATCTCTTATTTCCTGCCCTCTTGACCTCTCTCCCTCCCATTGAACTCCTCTCTCCATGTGAAATACGGCTAAACTCTCGCGCTATCGTTACACCAGCATGAAGACAATCTGTCCAGAGAATGAAGAGCACAATAAAAAGACACCAATTGGAGAAAATCCAATACGGCAATATGATGCGAATAAAAACGCCACTAATGCGATTCAGCCGCTCTCCTGCTCGTCGTCGTATAGCTTCCCTTTACAACATCCCTCCTCCCCCCCCGCCTCCCCCGGACACCTCTCACCTCTCCCATGCACATATTACACACTCAGCAGCTGAAACACAGGTATTAAAACTCTTTTATGGGATAGCAATAAAGTGCTCTGCCGCTATATGTTGCAGATTTTACACCCAAATGGTAGTAAGGACACAGATGATTGCTGGTTTCTTCTACTTGTTATGCTAATGTGACATATACGACTAAAAAATGACTCGCAGAATGGGCGGCCGCGAGTTCACGTGAGACCCAAATCAATTGCAGTCAATTACAACTATTCATGCTTTCAATAATGACATCTGCATATTAATGTACGGAGCTACCGCTTTTCATTACCTCCATCTATATGACCATCAGCTGGACGGAAAATGAATAATTAACGTGACAAGAGTTCCCAGATCGCTATCTTATTATTTATAACAAAGGTTTAAAATGTGCTTTTGCAGTATTAAAAAGCGCAGAGTGTAGCTGCTGCTGTGGCTAAAGTAAGCCCGTGTCATGCCAGTGAGCAGGATTTTTTTTTAAATGTACAGATGTCAGAGAGGAATTTTCCACCTGACAGAAATGTTAAAGTAATTCCATCCATAGGCATGACAGCATGGCACCTCCATTTTTCAGTCTATTAGCAGCGCCCAGGCAGCAGAACTACACTCTGCTGTAACTGTGTCCATTAAAAAAATAAGAAATAACAAAAAAAACGTCCACAATGGATTCCCCTGAAACGCGCTTCATTGACAGCGCAGATGTGCTTCGGCATAACAAGCAGATAACTCAGCCCTCGCAGATGATTTGAAAAAGAACTAATTAATGTATCTCCTCGTTGCAATAAGACAATTAGAGATTTAGATTGACTATTTCATGAGACAGTCTGTAGTCCTTGGTAGGAGATTATAATAGGTGCTTTAAAGTAGAAGCAGTACGTTTTGGGAGTTAGTTATTGTGCATTTTTGAGTAGCAACCATCAAATAACACAAAAAGTTTCGCAAGTGCAATTTTCAGCAAGCTTCCAGACAATACCTGTATTTTACAAAACATTATTACATTACAGTAATGCTAAATACACACGTCCAAAGTTAAAGCCTCTGAACTCCAGACAGTTTCTGGCTGTTTTTTTTTTTTTTTTTTAAATTTAAAATTCCAAGTGCAATTCATTCATGCAAATATTCTTACATTTGTTTTCTTAGTATCCTTGTGTTCTCCTGTTTTTCTTATTTTTATTGTATATGTAGTACATATACCTTGCCTCTTTAATTTATCGTTGTGTTTTTCTTGCTTTTCTTAATTTCACTTTGCTGCTGTGACGGTGCAGATTTCCCATTGTGGGACTAATAAATGACATTCTATTCTATTCTATTCTATTCTATTCTATTCTCCTGCATCTCACTCAATCAAAACACTTCAGCCATAACTAGGAGTAGGGGGAACATGTCCTGTGTGCACCGTGATGCAGCTACAATGCCATAAATCATAAAAAACAACAAACCAAAGTTGAATTATTATTCTTATTTAACCTTGGCTAAACATTTCTGATATTTTTCTAAGCGTCCACAGATGTTACCAATACAGGAAATATAATGACTTAACATACCAAAGGTATCTACAAACATTTTCAATTTGCTTCCGTGCTCCTATCTGCTCAAACACAACCTTCAGCTAAACTGAACCGTCCCTGACTTTTTGTGACTGATGGTTGCAGCTGAGTCATTAATGGCTTTTTTGGTTGTGGCATGAAGCTCAGAATTTTTTAATTTTCAGAATATCTGTTCAGTACAAACATTTTATTTTTGCCAATTTTTATTTTAATGAGACCCCACGAATGAAAGTTGAAAATTTGAAATTTCTTTTTGTTTTTACAGTTTCTGAGAAATGGTGTAATTTTAATGTTTCTTAAAAGGTTGCATGCCTTTCCAACTGGGCTGTGGGTT